AGACCTAATGTAAAGTCAGCTAAAGAGGTGCTGTTACATCTCCTACCAGGTGTTAAGTAACACAGCACCTTAAAGAGGGGCTGGGAAGGTGGCTGTGCAGCACTATGAACGTCAGTGGTAATGATCTATTCTATTTATTTCTGCAATGAGCAGAATCAGATTAAAATCCCAAACACAGCAGTTAATTGGGTGATTGCACAGCAACTGGCTCTTGGTTTTGTTCTCTGCTCCCCACGATGCTGTGTGCTGCTGGGGGCAGCTGGGAGCAGCACGTGGTGCATCCCGACACCAAGCAGTGCAGGGATGTGAGGGAAATGCAAGGGCCAGATGTATGGTATGGCCTTGTTGCACTGACATGCATTAGTACTCCTCTGCCACCCAAAATAACAGCAGCCTTGTGTTAACAAGGTGTTTAAAGGCTTGGAGTGGGATATTGGGCCCATCTGTGAGCTCTGCCGTTCCTCTCGCAGATTTGCAGTTCATCTTGCAAGGATATTCCCATGCAGCCTGAAACATGAGATTGGTTAAGGTGCTGAGGATGTTAATGAGCCAAAGTGAATAATGCTGGGCTCTTCTAATAGGTACGATGCTGGAGAGTGCAAGCACAGAAGGGCAGCCGTCCCTTTGCAGCTCAGGAGCAGCGACTTTCATCATCACTGTGGCTGTGGCGTGCCCCTCTGAAATCAATGAAAGCCAATCCTGCCTCGGTGTGATAGATTGCTTGGAGATCTCGGTGGGATTTTTCTCCAAAATGTGATGTGAATTGGATAGGGTGTTACAAATTACAATAGCCCTGGCCTCAGCAGGTGCTCGTATCCTTGTGTATTTCTGTGGCACCGTGAGAGCAATAGGAAGAGGTGATGGAAATGAGAAGGAGGGCTCTGTGGCGATGTTTGGAGTTGGGCTGGGGGGACCTGAGTGAGGTCTGGGAAGGAGCTTTGTTTGGGGAGGTTTTGGGGATCTGCCTTAGCAAGGCACTGCCCATTCTGCCTCTGGTCCTACATGAAGCTGGCTGGACGTGCACAGTTGCAAACTCCCTGCCACCACGAGCACAAATTGCTAAGATGACTCGAATTGCAGGAGTATTCTGGGAGACAAGATATGCTTTTCCTCTAAGGTATACCAGGATATTTGTCAGTTCCTCTCCATTAGAAAGCGAACAGATTCAGAGGTAAAGATGAAAAGCGAAAAGCCCACAAAGATCAGATGAGAGGATGGAAATTACTGCTCAGGTAACCCAGCTACCTCCACGCTGTCACCATGGAGATCTCCCCATCCCTGCTCCATGCATGCAAAGTGCTGAGAAACACTGCTTTCAATAATTGGCATCATATTTCTCTGGGTATATTAAGCTTGCCTTGGAATAAGGCTCATCGGGCTCCAAATGATTTTTGGATAACCAGCTGTAATAGATCGGATCAGATGGCTCAGCACTGTGGTTTCTGATGATGCGCTGTGTTTCCATGCACAGTGTTAGCACAGCTGGGGGGCACTGTGGGGCTGCTGGGTGGGCAGGGGTACAACGATCCGCTGCTCCTCTCTCTGCATTCTGTGTGGATTTCTGTGCTCTGATCTGGATTTTCCTGGATTTCAGACTGCAGAAAGGAAAAATACCATTGCAGTGCTGCTCAGCAGGCTGCTGCAGAACCAGCTGGAAATCTTATTGTGTTGTTTTTGTAGGTCAGTACGTATGGGCTCAAACAAATATTTTGCACGAGGTAGGAGATTAAGGTGTTCAGATTGCTGCTCTGATCTGCCTTCGGTGCCCCACGTGGCTGCCGTGGGTGAACCCAGCTGTGTGCTCCCCACTGCCCTGCTTACTGCAGCTCGGGGTCACAGCAGAACGCTGTCATTTTTCAGGTTGTGTCTTTTAAATGAATGGCACCGTTTGTGTTTTATGCTCTTGTATCCCTAAAACAATTTAGTCTGATGGTGATTATTAGCAGTCTCATTAAGAACAGTTTAACTAAAAATCGAGACGCAGAGACTTCATCAAAGCCACACAAATCCAGATAATGCTCAGTTTCTAATTCGACTTCTATGCTTAGGAATAAATCCGCAGAGCATCAATTACTGTATCTGCTGTAAAGCAATTACGGCCGGCCTCCCTGCTCCGCTTTACATTTAGCTTAATAATTACTTTCACTTTAAACTATGAGCTACGGATTTCACCGTGCCTCCAGAACGACACAAAGCAGACACCAACCAAAAGAAAAAAACACCCACAAAAGCAGGAGTTGCTTTCTTTTGTGATCAGGTTGATCAGACCGATGTATCATCGAGCGCAGCAGGTGGGCAGATTAACGTAGCGCTAATTCCTAGCGGTCATCACTGCAAGGAAATGTAATCTGCAGAGTTCGCGAGGATTGCGGTCGCACGCTGGCGAGGCTCATTTCTGAGAGAGCAAAAGCAGCACAACTTTAAGTGCTGGGATCCAGTGCGACTCAGAATGATGTCGACCTGCTGGCCATGCACAATAGCTGGGGTCTTGTGTTTAATTGGAAATTAGATTCTTATTGATCACGGCCTCTTAACGACTGCATCCGGAATCCACGCCTGTTCTCGGTTGTGTTTGAGGGAATGCAGTCTGAGTTAAACTCACTCACAGGTATTTTTGCAGCTGCTTGTCCCTGCGGGGTCTCTGTTAGTACACAGCACTAATGGAGTCATCTCTCATATTTGGATCAATTCAGAGGAATTCTGCTGAAATGTAACAAGTGATGCTGGTTTTATATGAAAATAAATTGTGGCAGTGGTGGCTGAGACCCAAAGTGAGGCAGAACTGAAGTTCTGATAGAGATATAAAAAAAAAAAAAATCAAAATAAATTCCTGCATTCAAATTCAGGGTCTGCGGTTTCATCATGTGGGCATTTGCCATTGTGTCTCAACTTGAGGTTAAGAAGGATGGACAGGAGCTTTGTGTCCAACAGAACTCCAAGGAGGAGTGAGAAAGAGGATGTTACCAGCACAGATAACCAAATTAACCAGGGAACTAACAGGCAAGTTACTACATCAGTATGCACAGTAATAAATGGCAATGAATCACTGGAGATCTGGTGCTTTAATGATGCTGTTATAAAAATGATGGCCCTGAACTCCTTCAGTCCACATATACTGAATGTTGGCTGGTGCTTATCAGTTTATATGCAAGAAAATTTATAGCATGCAACGTAAATGAAACAGTCCTTGGACAAGAAGAAATGGATTGCAGGTGCAAACAAGCATGAAATGAAAATCTACTAATGAGTTTCCATTAGCAGCTAAATATATAATCGAATAATTTTAGCCAACACAGAGCAATGAAAAAATCAATTTATTCATCATAAGTACTACTATATAGATTGATATGGATTCATGCTCTTGTATATCTAAAACTGGTTTTGTTAAGTGAAACTTGAGCTTTGGATTCAATTAAAACAGCTAAGAGCAGCAGAACACGAGCTGGCTTTTACTGAATATGAATGTAAACTATTTTCTTTGGAAACCCTGAATAACTCGTGACTCATTCTACCTTATGTTAATATGGAGTGTTTCTATATGAAAGCTGCAGACTAAAATATTTCAGAATGATGAACTAACATTGGCAAACCTGAATTTATGTACGGATGTTCATGAATGTAAGCAATAGTATCCTCAATTTTCTTATTTTTGCCTTAGGTAGCATCTAACCTGACTGTTGTCAGCTTAGACTGTAACAACTATGAGAAATATTGCTCTATTGCAGCTCACACACAGACAAACTGGGTTTCCAGGCATTGGAAGTGCTCACGAGGACCCTTTTTGTTCCTCATCTGTAGCAGAAGACACACTAGTAGAGAGATGCCAATTTAGTGAGGTGTGTGAGAATGGCAAAATGTTCACATTTTGAAATGTTAAAAAGCCCTCAGGGCCTTTTTATTTCCTCCCTGGAAGAGGAATTTAAAATGGGGTAGACTTGGAGATTGGCATTAATGTCAATATTTTAAGGCTCAGTAGTTTATGAATCAAAATATGCATATTATTTCCTAAACTTGAAGTCAAAGGAAACAATAATAATAGAGAAGGAGCAAACCAAAAGCTTTTACCAAGGTTTTGGATGAGATAACTAGTTTTGGTGAGTCGTTATTATTAGGTTTCAAGAACAGCATCCCTGATTGATGTGATGGGGATCTCAGATCAGAAACAGCTTCCACTTGGGACAGGTTGTAGTGGATGTTATTTCTCAGTGGATCTTACAAATGGAATTCAAAATTTATAAAAAATGCATCAGCTGAAAAACAAATGAACTCGCTTGGGCTTGTGATACTTCTAGAGAAGCTTTCAACAAATGCATGCATGTAGATCTCATTTTAGCATGACAATATATCCCATGTAACCATCTCTTTGAATATACCCCATCAAGCTTCAGCAAAAACTCTGCATGGAAACATGCAGACATTGCAGCACGAGTGGGAGGAGGTTGGTGCACGCCAAGCTGATGGCCGTGTCCATGCCTGCTGCTCAGCCATCAACTCCCAGCACCTCACTGAGTCCAACGGGCTGCAACCTGAACTCACACAGCACTTTGCATTTGATGGGCTCCCTAAAAGATTTACAAGTTTGTCAAACTGCAATGTCATCCACTTGCTGCTGAAGGCAGCTTCGTTTGTGCACAAGGCACAGAGCTCTGTGAGCAGCAGTTCAGCGCTGGGTGATGAGTAACGTGCTGGAGAGAGTCTGAAGGGGAACCTGGGCAGGTGCAACGTGGTGATCTGACCTGACATGATGTGGGAGGGCTGTGGGAGTTCTTGTAATCTGATTTCTGAAAAATACAACATGGCATCTCTCATGTATTCCATATTTCAGGTGCGGGTTTCTTCTGAAAGCAGATCCTTTAGCTTTAGGCACCTGTCAGATCCGAGGGCTGTAAGGCAGCAGGAGAAAAATCTTTTCACCCTTAAAAAAGAAAAAATGCATGGGAAGTGAGTAGCTGCTCCATTTCCAGTACTAGGAAACTTATTGCCTGTATCCTTTATTACAGCACTGCCTTAGAATACAGCTTCATCAGGAGATGCCAATGGTGTAAGAACGTGGAGCTGCAGTGGGTGCAATGCTGTGGGGCTACACTGTGACTCCATCATTGTCCCTACCCTCCATCACCACAGCAATTTCCTTTGCCTGCCCACAGATGCACACATCTGGCTGTAAAGGTAATTTTCAAATCCATGGAGAATGCTGTTTGCCTAGGGGATTTCCTTCTGAGTTGCTGTAACTTTGTGCTGCGTGAATGCCTGATAGCAAACCATTGAGAAAGATGTCTTTATTATGGCCCTTACCAGTCATTGTTGTAGCACGGATGGATTCTGAGGGAGGTGGGGATGGTACTTCAGAGCTGCTGATTGTCTCTGTTGCCTCCATGCTTGGGCCATTTCAGCACATTGGATACAGGCATCTGCCATTTGCTGAAAGCTGAGCATTCAGTGATAGTACAAAAATTGAACTGGATTCCAGAAACGCTTATTCTAGCTTCTCCTCTGCTTACAATGGCATATCCAAATGCCACAGGTCTCAAAATGAGTTTCTCCCCAGCATCTCATTGTCCAACCAAGAGGCCAGGAACCAGAAGACTCTGTATTGTGGTTCCCAACTGATTTTGGTCACAGCACTGGAAATGTCCATACAGCATATCCAGCTCCACTCTGAAGTGCCAGATAAAGTATATCCCATCTTCCTCCAAAACTTCAAACGCGAAACAAAGTTTTTGCAGCCCTTTGCAGCCACTGCCATAACCCTGTGTATCAGTTGGCATCTTTTACCTCTCACTGGTTGGAAATCTCATGTTTCCATTGCCCTGGATCACCAGGTGCATTTATCAAACATGGCAAATACTCCAAAGCACTAACTCACTCCTCTTGATCTCAATGGATTATAATAATCACTGTCATACTGACAATAAATTTAAAAATGTCTGTGTTGCAAACTCAAATACTTCAGCTTTCTAGCTGGGCTGGGAAGCTACAGAAGGAAAACTGAATCCTAAATTAAATTTTAGAGTTTTTCAGTTTCTCAGAAATTTGATAAACATGCACTTTTGGGAGGATTTCAGATCTGTGTGTGGGGGGAAGGCGGTTTTTGTAGATACAGACAGGAATGTTTCATGGACCAAAAGATATTTTTTTCTAAGACGTAATGCTATATCTTCACAAGTAGGAAAATGTGGAAGTGAAAAATGACTTCTCTGCCTTCCTAGGGAGCTGCCAGTGCTGTTGCTCTGCCATGCATAGCCCTGATCCTTCTGTGTCCCAGGATGCCCAAACCTGCTGCTGGTGGCATTGCAGGAGGCTGAGGCAGCAGCTGTCCATCTCAGCTTCCAGGAGAAGACCAGAAGGCAGCCGAGCATCCCTGCCCCACTCTGACAGGAGCTTACACCTGGAAAGTGTTGGCAGGAAAGCAGTGAAGTCATTGCAGGTCAAATGCTGAGTGTGGCATAAAAAGGGAAATTTGGACTACGGACACGCAAACAAATTGCCCTAAGGATCCCATGTAACAACTGATGTGTGAGAACCACTTCTTATCTGCAGTGAGAACCAGCCCTTGCAAGGTAACTTGATAGCTTTAATTAAAAAGATTCTCACTTCTTTCTTTGGAGCTGGCCAAAGCCAGTGAAGTGGCAGTGCCTCATATAACCCCATGTCTTATGCAAGAGCACAGGCAGCAAAACGCAGAGATCCTGGCTCTGGTCACAGCACAGCTGCTTCAGCCTTTGCAGAGCTGGACCCCCACAGCCACAGTATGTGAACAGATGTTTTAAAATCAGTTCCAGAAAGGACATATGAATGTGAGTGTTTCCTCCTTGAAGTCTATCACTTAAATTTGAACGTGGTGTTTGTGCATAGGATTGTACCACGGACACCTGGGAGGTCTTTGTTCTCAGTCCACACGTGAATTTTGTATTTTTGAAGTATATTTAACGTGCACAAAAACGCAGACAATGTCTCAAAACCAATGTATTTGCTGCTGTGCAATCATACAGCACTTTGTCAGATTTCTGCTGCATGCCATTCATTTTTAGATCAGCTTAAAAAGGAGACTTGCCTGAGATTTTTCTGTGAGGTTTGTCCACCCAGTCCCCATTGCAGCTGAGCGTGGGATTTTGCTGCAGAAAGGTGCTGATTTTGCAAGAATGCAAAACGTGTGCTGACATCGGTGGGAGATGTGCATCTGGAGTGATTAAAGACCAAACCCAATGGAATTAGCCTGGGATCTGGTACACCTCTTTGCTGTGCAACTGCACCTTTTTAATAAGGGACAGCTTAAGGTTGCGTACCCCAGTCCTGCTGATCCAGATTTCTCTCTCAGCAGCTGCCCAGTGTGACCTTGGAGCCACGAGGGACAGACAGGAAGGCAGCTCCTCACCTGGCTGCTCCTCATGCCAGCTGCACAGGACTTTCTCATTATTACAGTAAGTTCACTTCCATTACTGTTTTCTTCCCAAATACCATCTGATTTCCTTCATTGATAAATCCAGTGTGGTACAAAAGCATTTATTTCCCTGACAATCTAGTTTCCCATTCTAAAAATGCCCAAACTTGAGGCCTCTTAAAGCAACTGACAGTAAAAATTCAGCTTGGGTGAACTCATGCTGCTCAGCAAGCATACCCCAATAGTGAGAAAATGGCACAGAACCACCACAGGAGGATGCACACAGATATAAGTAAGCCGAGTTCTGTGCAGTCCTTTGCTGTCCCCAGGGTGTTAACAGCACCTGGATTCAAATACCTGAAATACTGGTCTGTGCTGAGGAGCCTCTCGGGCAGCTCTGCCTCCTTCCTGAATGCTGGCAGTGGCTCAGGAGTGGCAGATGAGGACCGTCTGTGGGCAGAGGCTGCTCCAGACCTGCTGGGATGCAATGACCTGCTTCATCAGCAGGTTTTGTGTAGAGATTTTGTGTAGATTTTGGAAGGAGAGGGAAGACTGCTTTGTGCAGTTTAAATATTAAAAAGGACGAGAGATGGTAGAATGTAAATAACCAAGTGGCCTGATCTGCTTTCCCTGCTTGGAAGAGGTCCACAGCACAGATGCAGCTGAGTGCTTTGTGGTTTGAATGGCTTGATCCTGTGCCCTTCAGCAGCTCCAACACGGCACTGCTAGGCTCCCACGTTGCCCCTCTCAATTTGTCCAAATGAAGGCATTTTGGAAAACAGTGCTGCTTTCTTTGAGCTGAGAAGGGGCTGAGTCCACGGAAGCACTCCTGGAGGTGGCTGTCCCCAGGGTCCTGCAGTGCCACCCAGGGGGAGCACTGATGCCATGTGTCTGACAGGGGCTGTCACGCTGAAGCCCCACACAGCCTCCCATTGCAGCATGAAATAGGAACCATTATATTTTGGTGATTTCCACAAGCAAACCTCTTAACCTCTTCCGTATCAGCAGCCATCAAACCCCGATGCAGTTTTTGGATGAAATTATCATTAAAGTCACACTGTGTATAAATCACAGGTTTCTACAGCTGCAGTTAACAAGGCTGCCTTCACTTAGATGGCCCGAATGACACGTCTGCATTCTGGATGTGCTCAGCCCGCAGCCCGCATGCTTTCCTCTCTCAGATGCAGTAAGTGTGCATTAAACTTAATGTAAACCTGTAACATTTTTTGCATTACAATCAAATCTTGATGCTAATAAGGCAGCTATATATTTGGCATCTAACTTGCTCTGTTAAGCAAAATATTTGTTTTTAAATTTAATAATGCTGGCGGTCATTTTGTTATATGAAATGCTCATACATATTGCTTTCATGTTTTCCATGGGACTGTGTCACTGCCACGATCCAAACCCATCAGCTGCAGAACAAAGCAGTCGGCCTTTAAATGAAATGATTTTTAAATCAAAGCCATTGACCAGCCAGAGTTAAAGTTATAGTTTCAGCCCTGCGAATACTTAAGGCGTCGCTGCCTCTGTTGTGAAGCATTTATTTCAGCATGGGAAAGTTATTTTCAATGACTGATCCTAACTTTCTCTTTGTTGAAATTTGTCTCTCTGTTTTGCTGCTGCCAGAAGGAATCTATCCTCCTCCATGAAGATACCCCGTCATATATTCACTGCACATCCAAATTTGCTTTTGAAGTTTGGTGCTTACTGGTATATGAGAGGCTGAGAAACTCGGAGAAACGGTGCATTGAGCATCAGATGCTGCATTCATGGAGAATTACACCTCTTCCAGAGAGAGCCCCACTGCCTGGACGCACTACAGCAAAGTAAGCACTTGTCTTCTTTTATTCTTGGATGGCAATTTATGTTGTTCTGATTGGTACCTGCCCCAAGCGCGCTGGCTCTGATCCAGCACAGTACTTGCTTTACTTTAAACCCACACGTAATGCCATTGACTGGAAAGCGATCTTCACCTTCCCATAAATTTAATCTCCCCTTCCCGTCAACCAGTCTGAAAGTTCTCCAACGGGTTTTTAACTCATTCCAGGGGTGGGTGAGTCAGATGGGGGTGGTGAGAGCATCTATTGCATGTTCAGAGGGATGCAGGTGTCACAGGGTGTGGGCCGGGGCAGCCATGCAGCAGTGCCCTCCTTCCAGAGCTCCATGCGAGCAGCAGTGCATGCACTGGGTCCCACTGAATGGTGCTGGTGGGCAAAACCTTGCTTTGTTGGCTATCTGCAAAGCAGGTCCCTCGAGGGCTGCCTTTGATCTCCTTGGTACTGGGAGACGTGGAACTGCATGAGAACAAAGGGTGAGAACAAACTGTAAGGTAGATAAGTAATGACTTGGGAAATAGCAGGGTGACAGAGGTTAAAGAAGCAGGATTTGCAGTGGGAGTAAAAGCCATGCTTTTCTCCCATCCATCTCCCCAGCCCCCTGTGTGTGGGCTAATTCACAGCTAACTGACAGATGATGTTGCTGAATATCCCCTGTTGTTGTCAGCGCCTTGTAAAATAATGCCTTAATTCCAGGTAACCAGGCTAGGCTGACCTGAGCAGAAGGATTAGTTAATGGTCATTAAAGATCACCTCATTGAATTCAGCCCTATAGCCAGGAGTCGGAGGGCTGTGCACTCTGTGCAGGGAGAGAGGAAGGTGCTACTGACAGGATGACAATCGTTGTGCCTCAGTAGCAGCAAAGCACTTGAGACATGGGATGGTTTGCTACCTCACTTGCATAAATCCTGGGCAGCATGGAGAACACAACTGAAAGGGCAGGTCCTACAT